CAATTTATGTATATATTCCACTGTTGGTGAAAATCATTGTTTCTAGTCTAGTACAGTTATAAATAATGCTTCCATAAGCATTTGTGTACGTGCCCTTTGCTGAACATGTGTACATCAGGAGTAAAACTACAGGCCTTAGGTTCAGCTTTAGTAGATGCTCCCAATTTTCCAAAGTGGTTGTGCCAGTTCACATGCCCACCCACAGCAGTATGAGCTTTCCAGTTGCTCCACATCCTCATCAGCACTTGCTGTTGTCTTGTTTTCATTTTAGCCATTCTGGTTGGCATATAGCAGAGTCATATTAGAGTGTTAATTTGTAATTCTCTGGTGACTCATGAAACTGAGTGCTTTTTCATAAATTTATTGGCCTTTTGGATATTCACTTTTGCAAATAATGATTCCTTTTTAATTTTATCTTTCATCAGAAAGTATTTCTGAAAATGGCTCCAATGCTGAAAGTTTGGCAGTTCTAAGAAGGGTTCCAAAGCCAAGGAGAGTGAAGAGAAGTCAAAGGATGGCCCCAGCCTGCAGTGGGCATCCATGGAGCTTTGAAAGTTGCACAGCTGCGGCAAGGGCTTTCTCCGTGCCCTTTGGGGTTGCCATGCAGCCGTCAGGTTAAAGTCCCCTCAGAAATTAGGGGAGGTGATTTATATTTCATATTTAGAGCTAACGACAGGATCTGAACTCCAGACCCCTTTCTTTTTTTTTTAACTGTTACAATTTTTTGAATTTAAGTATTATTGATATACAATCTTATGATGGTTTCAAATATACAACACAGTGGTTCAACAATCACCCATATTATCAAGTTCTCACCACCTCCATTGGGGTCACTGTCTATCAATGTAGTATGATGTTGCAGAGTCATTAATTGTATTTTCTGTGCTATATTACCATCCCTGTGACCAGCTTACATTGTGATGGTGAATTATTGTGTCCTAAATCCCCTTCTCTGTCCCCTCACACACTCCCCAATTCCCCTTGGTAACCACTAGGTCATTCTGGTATCTATGAGTCTACTGGTTTTTTGTTTATTCTGTTTTGCTTTGTTTTTATACCCCACAAATGAGTGAAATCGTTTGGTATTTGTCTTTCTCCACCTGGCTTATTTCACTGAGAGTAACACCCTCTAGATCCACCCATTTTGTTGCAAATGGCAGGATTTCTTTTCTTTTTATGACTGAATAATATTACATTGTGTGTATGTACCACATCTTTATCTATTCCTATACTGATGGACAGTGAGGTTGTTTCCATATCTTGGCTATTGTAAGTAGTGCAGCAATAAATGTAGGGGTGCATATGTCTTTTCGAATCAGGGATCTTGTTTTCTTTGGGTAAATTCCTAGGAGTGGAATTACTGTCCAGCCCCCCTTTCTTGCTTCCTTTGGAGTTTGGGCTCTGGATTGATTTCAGTGACTATAGGGGAATTAATATAAGTGGATTCTTTGCTTCTCTGCGATTCCTACTAGGCAGGGGACACACAGGGGCCTGGGCCTGCTGACAAGGCCCAGTATTTGGTGCATTGAGGACCTAGTATGTGCCTAGAGCTTTAAGGGGGTTTAGGAAGCTCTCAAGCTCTGGTGATAATTATCAGATCTTAGCAGCTCATCATTTTCCTGATGCAAACACAAGCCCATCTTCCCTCACTCTGGCAGTAACTGCTGGCTCCCAGACAGAGCGCACCTCATGCCCCCTGCATGCTTATCCTCACGACGGCGACCAAGCACATGCCTAGATGGGAGGCAGTGGCTCAACGTGTGTACTGAACACCTACTGTGTGCCACTCCCAGTGCTACGTGTCGTACACTCTAATGCAACCTTCACCACAAGCCTCTTGGCAATTAAGACCTGCCGTGTTCTCAGGGATTTATAGGAGAGTGGGGAAAGGCTGCCAGGTTAGAGAAATGTATTTCAATGGCTTAAAACATGCCCCAAAGCAGCACACCAGGTCATTCATTTAACAGGATTTCTGGGCATCCTCACGACAGGCCCAGGCTGCGCACTATGGGTCTAAGACGAGTTAGGGTCATGTCCTTTAAGTTCACGGTCTCCCTGTAACCACACATTGTTAAATGAATGAATTGAAAATCCTTGTCATGTTTGTCCGAGTGCAGGAGGACAACACTTCCGGTCAGCCTGCTCAGGGCTCATGGTGCCCAGGCGTGTGCCGACAACGTGCTGTGAGTGGGGACCCCCTTCCCTGGGCTCCCGCTGCACTCTGTGTCTGGGTGAGGTGCTGTGCTCTTGTTATTTCCTCTCATTATCTCTGTAAACCTGAGAATTGTTGCTCCACTTTATAGATGAGGAAAATGAGAGCTCACAGTACCCTTCACAGAGGCACAAACGTATAGGGCTGGGGCTCAGAATCAGGGAATCCAAACTCCTGGAGATCCTCAGGAAAGGAGGTGGGGTCTGACACAGCCCCAGAGAACATGGGGATGGGAATGTGGCTGGCAGGGCCCACTTTGGGACGGGTGGATAAGGAGGGAGGAAAACCATTTGGCTGGAGGGCAGCCTGTTTAGGTGGGTGACGACCTCGCAGTGGGAGAGGAGGGCAACACTGAGCTAGAAAATGGTTGGTACCAGAGTGAGGCCTGTGGACTGTGTCACAGTCTGCAGCGAGCCTGGGAGACTGCTCACCCTCTCCTTTACTTCCCACCTTAAGGCAGCCTTTTATTACGTGGGCTTAAGGGAGGCAGCATGCAGCTCCAAATAGAGGCTTTGGGGCTGTGTGATTCTGGACAAGCCTCTCCACCTCTCTGAACCTCAGTGTCCTTTTCTCTAAAGTAGGCACATCTAAATGAGGTAAACCTAGCATAGCAAAGGGGACAAAACAGATGCTCAAAAACTGCGGGTAAGATACAAAACAGGTTCCAGCTTCTAGCTGCCTGGGTTCAACTCCTGGCTTTGCCACTTACCAACTGTGTGCCTTGGATAAGAGCCTTACCCTCTCTGTGTTTCCATTTCCTCCACCTTAAAATGGGGTTAATAATAGTAGTTTCGACCACAAAAGACTGTTGTAATATGAGTTTGATATATATATATATATACTCATGTGAGTTGATAGAAATAAAGAGCTTAGCACAACACCTGGCCACATAATAAGCCTTCAAAAAGAGTAGCTACAATTATATTTCATCCCTTACATCCCTAAGTAACAGTTGCTTATTAAATAAGGATTGTTCGCTTCCTTTCTCCCTGACATACAGTGGCATAGGCGTTAAGCTTTGGTGCTGTAGGAACTAAAAAGAGATCATGGAAACTTGCAGTAGGGAGATCAGCCTCCAGGACGATGTGGAGGATGGAAGAATCTGGGTTGGGGGGCGAGCAAGGCTTTGCAGAGTCATGATTTGGGAGACGGTGCAAAGCTTGGATCAGAACCAGGTGGGGAACAGGGAGTAGGAGAGCTGGGTGGAAGGGTGTTCCTAGGGGAGAGAGGGAGACACCTTGAGGAGGTATCCAGTGTTGGCCTGGTCATGGTAATCATGTGACCATGTGACAGTGCATGGGTGATCTGCCTTCAGGACCTGGAAAAGGGGGGATGTCAGGCCTCCTTGGTCAACCCCAATGGTTTGTAGGAGGATCAGAAGAGGACACAGAGGTGAAAGTCTTAAAGCCACCAACACTCCCTGCAGCTGTGCCACTGCAGCCTCACCCCGGGTGAAGGGGAGCTTGGGGTGCTGGGCGCGTGGGTTCCACGAGTCAGTCAAGTCCTGCTTTAACCTTCACGGCTCTCCTCATTAACCCTGCAGTGCTAGTAAATGGAGATTCCTGTCAAACTCACTCTCGATCACCTCCCATCCTTGTGATATTCCTAGCACAACTCTATGGTAGTATTTACCACATATGGTTTTATTGTGTCTTAGCACATTATAAAATGCTGTTAAACTAGCCCTTGTTCTGTACCAAAAAAGTGTCAAGATGCAGCTTGGTTAAGTTGAAAACCTCAGGTATGCTCCTGTAGGCTTGGGGAAACTGGGTACAAGACAACACGGGGCACCATTATCTCCAGTCCTGTCCTCATCCAACTGACCGCTCCTCTCCCTCAAGAGCTGCCAGCCTTTCCTGTTGACACCTCTGTGCCTGCTGCCTGTTTTCCCTTCCTAGAATACCCTCCCCAGCCTCACAGCACATGAAACTATTCACCCTTCAAAACCCTGTTCAGGTATCCTCTCTCTGAAGCTTTCAAACAACTCTTCCATATAGTAACTTCCTAACTTCTGTCCCTGTGTATTTAGGAATTATTGAATATATTACACTCCATTATAATTATTCACTTATACAACCACCAGCTTTCCTCTACATCCAGGGCTGCCTCTGGCCTTGGCTTAGTTATCTCAGTATCCACAGGTCCAGCCAGAAGGCTGGAAGAGAATAAGAGCTTAATAAGTATGTCTGTAATAAACCTAGTTGCACTCGGTCTTACATCCAGAGACTCCAGGGCTTACAGATTTTAATTCATGAAATATTCCTGAACTGAATTTTGGAAGAAAATGCATCCCTCTACTGACCATCAAAAGAGGCTATAGGAAAAGCTGGGGGGTTCAAAGGCATTTCAAATAACCTCCCCGATCCCAACCTGTTTCTAAGAGGGAGCCACCCCAGGTCAGTGGCTTTCAGCTTCTCTCAACCTGCAGTGAGAAGTGTTTCTTATACTGATACTCCCTATACACTTACATCAGAGACAAAGTTTCCATGGAACAATATTTGCCTTTGCTATGGGGATTGCTCTCTATTTTCTCTTTCTTTTTTTTTTTCTTATTTCAACTGCTGGATACCACCCAATGAATTGATTTCATGATTCTTTAGTCTAGTCAGTTGCATCCCACAGTTTGAAAACATTGCTGTAAGCCGTCAGCTAATATAACCAAAGAAGGCTTCTCACAGGAGGAACCCTGAGCCCTGAAGTTCGGCTCAGAAGAACAGTGGGTGGGTGAGGGTGCAAAGGTTTGATGAAGGCACAGGCAAGATTCTAATCCACTTTCCTCTCGTTGCAGCCGAGCCCCTGCCACTGACGGACCTGTGCCGGAGATCCATCCGCTTGGCCCTGGGCCGCCAGCGCCTACGGGACATCGGCTCCCTGCCCCTGCCTCAATCTCTCAAAAACTATCTGCAGTACCAGTGAGCCAGGGCCTGGGAGCAGCAGTGGGCACCCACCACAGGGCCCAGGCTGTCATCTCACGGTCACACAGTACGTTCAGGAAGGGGTCCTCGTCCTCACCCCACTTGCCCAGGACATGCCGTTCTTTTAGAGACCAGGACGTGTTCCCAACTTTGAAAATGAAATGTCTGTTGCCAATAGTATTTGCTGCCTTGAGAGCAGTCCTCGCAGGTCAGACATCTCCTGGGAAGCCACACAGAGCGTGGAGCCTACCTACTCCCCGGACACAGGGGCCACCAGTATTGATCAGAGAGCCTGTTTCCTTATTCAGGAGGATGAATAAAACATCTGGGCAGGAGACTTTCTGTTGTGTGCCCTGGCGCAGAAAGAGCCAGGGGAAAACCGGGGCTCTGGGAGAAAACTGCGTCTGCGTAATGAGCGGTGAAAGCAGCTCGGTGCCAGCGGCTCCCTGGGCACCCGCCCCCGCAGCACGATTGCCCTGACCCTTTAGGACTTTGCTGCTTTGAGAAACTGTTGCCCAGGGATGCCCAACTGCGGAATTGGCACGTAGACAATGCAGTGTTTGGACACCTTCCAGCTGACCTCTTTGAACATTGTGACTCCTTTCCGTGCTCTGCCTTCCCCCCTTCCCTGCTGGTGACTCACAGTTGTCCAGATGCCCCAGGCACCTCTATTCAGGGAAGCTCAATCTGGCTAATTGACACCAGGGACAGTGTATCCTTTATTATTATTATTATTACTTTAAATAACGTTGCATTTTGAAAGAGTGTGGAGAGGGCAGTACTTAGTCCAAAGGTGCTAATGGGGGAACATGGGGCACGTGACACCCGTGGATGACGGTCTGGAGCTGGGGAGCCTTTCTGGGGTGCTGAGGGTCTCCAGGAACCACCCATTCAGGATGCAGCCTGGCTGCCACAAAGCTTTATTTGAGCAAATTATTTTTTCACTGTAGGAGACTTGTAGGAATCTGTTTCTGTTTCAGATGTGTGTATATGATGTGCTTTTCATTTATCAGCTTGGGGCCATGGGGCAGCCTTGGAACCAGGAGGGTGGATATGGGAAGCCCCCTGTCTGCATGCTCCAAGCCTGGTCCTCTCATGGGAATGACACTGCTGCTGTCCCAGCCACCATTGGGCATCTCTTGTGTTGCCAACACTCTCCGCCCAGACTCATTTTTAACTGGATATTGTCACAGAGGTGGGATTCCAGAGCCCCAGACGGCACTGCCTTCCCCCACTTTAATGTGAATTCGACTGATGAATGAGGAGCATTTCTAATAAAGTGTGTCGTTCAGTCCTTCAGCTGTTTATTAACTGCTCTTTAGGGAGGGCCTGGGAGGGCTCCTTCCGTCAACCTGGCTGGTCTGTCCCCAGCCCTCCAAAAGCAGGAATGTGAATCCCTCTCCAGACACTTCTCATCTCTTCTCTCTTGCTGTCCCCACTTGAGCCAAACTCTAGGCATGGTGCAAAGGTCTGGCCAGGAAGTGTTGCTGGGCAGCTGCGTCTGGGGGTCTCTCCCTGCACACTAGGTGAAACCTCAACCCGGACTGGGGAGGGCTCTTTACTCTGATCAGGAAAGAATTCTCAGTGAGGTTGAACAAGTGCCAGCAAGAAAAGCATTCATTAAATAAAGCAAGAGTAGGAGTGAGTGTCAGCAGGTGTGCAGGCAATAGAGAGCAAGGAAGAACAGAGGGAGAAAAGGGAGGTTCATTAAACTCCTGCTCAGCACAGTGCAAATCCCTTGCCAACACCTAAAACCAAGGTCACCTGGCATCCAGTGTCCACTTGATTTGAACAGCATGAATCATATCCCTGCCACCCCTGAATTTGGGGGAGCCATGGAATTGGATGGAGTGAGTTTATGTTCTGAGAATTTCCACTTCCCTACTGGTCTGAAATAAAACATAGAGAAAAGGATTAAGACTAGAAAGATGAATGAGATGGCAAAGAGGCACAGTTTCCACCAGAGGTGGAGGTCAGTGAGTTCTTGTCTTTGCCATGGAAAATAATTCAGAAAATTTAATTTGAAAAGACAGTACACACTCAGATGGGAGTGCAGGCGACCTCAGAAAGGAGGCACACTTAAGGATTTTGGGTTTGGGGTTTTATAGGGCCTTTTGGGTAGAGGTCAGCATAAGACATTATGTACGCAGGTGATTCATAATTCCTTTGAAGTTTTGTCTTAAGTATAGGGCTATTAGGTGACTGTTGATCTAGATCTCAGCATCTTCACCCACATAGGTTCATTTACACTCCAGAGGTTTATCTCTCGTGGTGGTTACAAAGTTACTTAGCTGGTTAAGGGGCTAGAAGAAAAAGAAGAACAGCATATAAATTAAGTTAAAGAATAAACTGGGCCTTTTTTGCAAGCTAAGTAGATTTTACATGGCATGACCCTTGTCCTTTTCCCCTGCTCTATCTCAGAAAAGTGAATGTGCCTGTGCCCTGGGTCCATGCAAAGCAGCTGTGACGGTGGAAAGACTGGTCAAATTCTTGATGCCAGGGCCATGATGTCTGAGGGGAGGCTCTGTGGGGGGCACAGGGTCAAGAAGGTAAACCCTATGGGACAACAGTTTCAAAGTGGACCCAAAAGCAGCACTGGGTGTGACTTCAGAAGTGCATGTTGTCACTAAGGAGGAGGGCAAATTGTGGAAGGGAAGGCTTGGAGCTGGAAGCAGGTCAGGAGCCAGTTCAGACTGGAGTCTGGGTCAGGACTAGCACAGCATGCCCTCAGAAACATGGGCCACCAACATGCACTGTGCCAACCTCTGAGCACCTAGAGCTCAGGCAGATATAGCCCGTTAACATTTACAGTGCAGCCGAATAAAGAGAGAGGGAGCTCACCAAGGGGGCTAGAGGAAGAAAGGCCTGGAGGAAGAGGCACTCCACACCTGCTTGTTAAGGAAAGACAACCTTATGGAAGACAGTACAAAAGCAGCACATACTGCCCCCCAGGGGTCAGTGGTCTGCCACTCCGCCCTTGGGGCTGGGGTCTGGGCTCAACCTCAGGCAGCTTCTGTCACCTTGGTAGCAGGAGGCAGCTTCTTGCAGAGGCAGGCCCCCAGCTTTGGGGTCAGGAGACCTGGGTTTGAGTCCCAGCTGCATCACTTATATACTGTGACCTTAGGACCTTGGGTAAATTACTTCCTTCTCTACACACTGGGGGGCCTGCACAGGTGGCCGGTGGGTGAGGACCCATCCTCTGACAGCACATAGGGTTCCAGTCTCAGCACCAGCTTCCCAGCTTGGATTCACTGTGTTGTCATGGCTTCCACGCCTTGCTCATGCAGTTTCCTTCACCCAGCAATGCCTTCCTCATCCTCACTTCACCCTGCCCAAGACTGGCATGGATCAATCTTCCTCCAGGAAGCCCTCCTTTACCACCCCCAACCTCTCTGGCTGCTCTGAGAGTCAGTTCCTCCCTTCCTGGGCTAAGGAGGTCTTTCCTGGCATCCAGAACCCTCACCCCAGCATTTGGCCCAGAGCCCCTCCCTGCCCCGTGGCCTCATCTGCTAGCAAGCTGTGAGCCTTGGGAGGGTAAGGCCTGGGCTGGCTCCTTCCCACGGGGCCCTGAATCAGAAACATGGGCTCAGCCTGCAAGGTGGAAGGGTGGGTGCAGCTGGGATGCTTGCGGAACCTGCAAGGAAAGTCTTGGTGGGGAGGAGAGGAGTTTCTGCTAGAGCCACGAGCATACCCACAGCCTCCGGGACCTCGGGCACTTTCACTCCCTTGGCCATCCCATAGGATTGCTGGGCATTTATGTGTGCCGGCACGGCCTGGGAGCCTGAAGGAGATGCGGCCCTGCTCTGTTAGACTTCACGTTCTACAGGGGAGACACGACACATAAGCAAAGCAATGAGATGATGTCAGAGGGAAGAAGGGAGCTGGGTCGGGGCTGGCGAGTGGGGAGCAGAGGACACCCTTACTGAGCGTGATCAAGGCAGGCCTCAGTGGGCCAAACACAGGAAAGGAGTTGGGGGTGCTTTTTGGGTAGGGGAAACTTACAGCTGCCCATCCTTCTCAAAGCAGGACCTTCTGTGCCCCAGTGAGCTGAGCTGAGGCCGGGAGACACTGTGCTGCACCCTGCCCCCAGCTCCAGTTCAGTCCGCCTGTGTATGTGCACTGTTATCTCCGGAGTTCCTGTGTGTTAGCTCCGCTGCACATGTGCATGCGCGCACACGCACATACACATCCCATGCACCACTGAAGGTCTGTCCCTGGAAGATATCCTAGGAGTCTCATGACCACTCCTAAGCCCCTCTCATCCTCCTCGTGTTCTCTCAGGTTTGGCCTCTCTCCCCATGATGAGTTTCTGATGGAGGCATTTGCTGAAACAGTCAGCCAATCGCTTTGTAACTGCCTACCGAGGGAGTCTGTGGGCACGGCTCCTCGCAGACCTGAGCCCTGCTGAGTTCCCTGGGGGCACTTCATCCCATCTAACACTTTCACTTTCTTGATAAAAGCCACCCCTTTTCCCTTTGCTTTTCTCCTCCGTCACTTGTGTCAGCAGCTGGCTTCTTTGGAGGCTTTCACTAAGAAACAAAGATGTGATCACCTCAAGATGTTACGGTCTCAGTGGAAGCCAGGAGCAAGTAACAGT